AAACATCTCATTCTATAGAATTGTTAGCAAAATCAGATTCAAGAGAAGAAACCTTATCTTCAAGTTGCTCAATGTTGCGGTGCAAGTTCCCAAAGTCCTCCCAATTCCATTTTCTAAGAGCTTTAGCTAAATTCTTATGTAAGCTCCAAAGTCTATACCTAGAAGAACCAATAGCATTAGATTTCCAATTATCTATAAGAAACTGAGTATATTTGTCATGAAGGGTCCACATATTATAAAATTTAAAATTATACTACTTTATATTATTGTTTTTTATGATTTTAAGAAGTAAAGGAGCATGGTCAGAAGCATTAATGGCCAAATGCTGAACTTTAAAAAGAGAAAAAAAAATTAATCCAAGAAGGATTAGCAACAAATCTATCAAGACGTTAAAAAGCCTTTCCTTTATGCCAAGTAAAAGGATTCCCATGGAACCCCATATCATAAAGCCCAGCATCCAGCAAGATATTATTGAAATTAGCAATTAGATTGAGATTCAGAGGATTTCAACCTTTCTTCTCAAGAGGAGAAGAAATAATGTTGAAATCCCCTCCCAAAAGCCAAGCTTCATTCTTCTGCTTAATAGATTTAATCAAATTCCAAAGCTCCAAACGAGCCTGCTTAGTACATCTAACATAAATAATAGAAAAAAGAAAAGACTCATTAAGATAAAGAATTCTCAAATGTAATAATTGAGTGTGATTGATAAGAATCTCAATACTCACTGGTTATTTCCATAAGAACCAAATCTTATTATTAGAGTTAGCAATACAATTGAAAGCACCAATACGTCTGACGTAAGCCTCATTATTCATCCCTGCAACCATAGGTTCAAGAACACCCAAAAATCTTAAATTATAAACACGAATTAAATTTTTAAGTCTATTAGAAGCACACACTTTGGCAATACTCCTAATATTCCAGATTAAAGTGTTAAACTTCATCAATAACAAGCTTACCTTAGCTAGTAATAATAGTCATAGAAGGCTTAGCAACATCCTTACCCTGCACCTGGATTTAAACAACCTCCAGATTCATATAATGCAATTCACGAACACCTTTAAATTTCTTTTTCGAGATGATCTTTGAATCATCCAATCCTCCTCCAACTCATTTCAAGTAAGAGCAGGGCATTCCGGCCATTCCTGAGTAGCCAGTCCATCATGCAGAACTATTGTCCATCTAATTGCAAGATTTCAGGGGTACCAACCTTATCAGTATCTTGAACCATAACAGTGGTATCAATATTACCATTCTTAACCAAATCAGTCGTAATAGCAGAGGTATAATGAATAGCATTAGCAGTTTCACTAACCAAATCATTATTAACCAATATCGTACCCATATTATTATGCTCATTCATAGAAGAATTAAACTGATCATCTAAAGAATGCAAAGAACCCTCTCCAGGAAGATTAGCCTTAGTGATTTTCAAATCCGAATGCAACTCTTTATTCATCTCTTAATTATTATTTTTATTTTTCTGCAATTCAGGATGAACATTATAACAACGAGAAAGAAGATGACTAAATATTTTGCAATTAGTGCAATAATGTAGTACAAATTCTTGTTCAGCCTTCTGCAGTAACCATCATTAGAATTTTCCATCCAAATAGAATTGTGGAAAACCGAAGTAACATCACGTTCAACCAACATTCTAGCCATCAAAGGCCTAGACAAATTACAAGTAGCAACATCCATTTTCAATGGCTTACCAAAAATTGATCCCAAGGAATAAAGAACTTTTAGATTGAAGTAATGTAGCTTCAATCCAGGAAAGTGAATCCAAAAAGGCACAATAGGGATCTCTTTGGTAGGATTGAAATTAGGTGTCCATTTAAGAAGTTTCAAGTAACACATCTCAATGGTCAAGATTTTCTTAACAAATAGAGAGGTATAATCTTCTTCAAGGTGCAACTTAACCATTAAGTTACGACTATCGATTAACCCTAAATCCATCCTCCAACCAGATGCAAATCCGAAAAGAACTTACGAATAACCTCCACTTTCGGATGAGTAAATGAAAATTTACCAATTAAAGTATACTTTAGTGGTTCAGTGAGAATGTCTGTATCTTCTTCAGTAAAAAGAACTGCAGGTTTACCATTCTTGTGAGAGGCTTGTTGAAGCAAACCTCTGTTATTAGTATCCTTTATTTGCTGTTGAAACTCCTCAGAGAAACGAACATCTCTAGACCCAAATGATTTACGTGAAACCATATATTTGAAGGACGGTGCTGCATAAGCCATGGAAAAGAGCAGGATAAAAAGAAACAAGCCAAAACTACAGAGAAAAGATAAGTCTAGTTAGGAGAAACCAAGAAAAGAAAGCTCCCAAAGTAGAGGATAAAAACAAGGGACAAACCATAAAAAAGAACCGAAGCAAACAACAACACCAAAGAGAAAATTAGAAAGCCAAACATACTTGAAAGGAAAATGGACAAAAGAAATCGGCTAGGAATTAGGCACAGAACAAAAGAAACGAATGAGAGCCAGCGAAATGATATGGTTGGTGCTGCAGCAACAGGGCAAAGAAAGATCAGGCTAGGGCAAAGGATCGCGCGCGTGGGAGGCGCAGCAAGGAGGAGCACAGAACAACGAAAGGCTCGGAGAAGAGCGAACGGGCTAAGGCAGAGGATCGCGAGGTCTTGGAGGGGTACAGGATCGCATTTTCTCGGAGGATTGCGAGGTCTCGGAGGGGCTTCGTCTTTTTCGCGTCGCTCTCGTTCTTCCGACTCCGGGGTGTAAGTTAAGCCTACTTGTGAGCCACTTCGGGCTAGGCTCGATAAGTGGCTCATGAACTGAGTTCAATGAGGTAACAAGCCAAGCTCAAGCCGGCCTCAACTCGGCTCAATTAAAAAGTAATTAATATAAAATATAATCAAAATATGATAAATTCAAGACTTTATCTTTAAATCATTAAAAATATTTCAAAAAGGATATTTTATATTTTATCTTAAATAATTTATTATTATTTATCTCATAATTGGTCATTCTAATTGTCACTGTATTATAACACTAGCTTGAATTAATATTATTTTTTCTTTTTTATTAATTTAGTCGGTTTGTGAGTCTACTCGAAATCATAGAATAAAGCTCAAGCTCATTTAATTAATCAAACTCTAGAACAAGCTGAGGTTGTCTTGAGCATGACTCAACTCAACTCATTTACACCCCTAATTTACGCAATACAACAGTCCTAACATCCATTCTAAAACGACAAACCACGCCACAATATAACAAACCAAGCCACACTATCACAATCACACAATCAATCGACCTAACCTAGGTGTAGGTTTGGTGATTTAGCAATCCATCTAACATGTGTGTGAGGCTAGTGATATGAGATTTATGGGGCCCACTGTACCCGAGAAGTAGGGCACGCTATTCTAAGAAACTAATGTATTTTTAATTTTATTTAGCTCGTTGGATTGTTTTGTGCTTTGAATTGATTTTGGTTGAATTTGAGATTTGATTTAAATGTTTATTTAATTAACTTGTTTGAATTTGATTCATGTTTACTTAATGTTCTGAGTTTGAGTTAATGCTTGGTTAAGTTATGTCATTATTTAAATTAAGATTGATGAATAATTGACTTGATTAAGAATTAATTAATTAACTTGATTTCATTTGAAAGTTTAATATTTAGCTTTAATTAAGTTGATTAAATTAATTAATATTTAGTTAACAAATTTATCTTAATTTGGCTCAAGCTAAATCTTTAAACTAAGTTCAAGTTTATGTTCAAATTGATTTAGTTTGATGTTTATTAAACTTATTCTTATTTGATGTAACTTAAGTTGAACATTCATACCGCCTTAATTAAATTTAGTTTAAGTTGATTTGAATTCAAGTTAAGTTAATTTGAGTTAGATTATTCACTTTGGTTGAAATTTGTATAATGAATTGGTTTCATTTAAGGTTTAGTTTAGTTTTTTGTTTAAATTTAATTAAATGGGTTAATTAAAGTTTAATTAAGTGTAAGTAAGAAAATTGAATTAACTAAATACATAATTATTATTTTACTTTAATTAAAATTATTGAGTAAAGTCTTAATTACTGATTATGTTCTTTTCAAATGAAAGTGCTTAATTTTCTTATATTGTATTTTCTTTATCTTTATAAATTAACTTTAATAATATGATCGTTTGGTCAAATTTTCATGCCTTCATAACTTCTATCCTTTCTCGAGCATTCATATAACTAAATGATCAAGCAAGTCTTTTATTATGTATAGCTCGAAAAAACACTATAAATTAGTGTTTAGTGCTTCAAATTTGTTGCAATTAGAGAGAAAATCCTGTATCAATTCATCCACACAACATCCACGCTGCAATCAACTTAACAAGGGGAAGAAATATTAAATCCAGACTCCGGATGCTCGGACAACCACCCAGATATAGCGAAGGAAGGGAGGAATCGGACTTCCGCCCTCCTCGCTGCATCCGGGCCGTTGTCCGGACATCCGGAGTCCAGATGTAATATTTACTCGCCCAAGGGACAAAACCTTCTTCAAGCAATTGCACCACTGTGTTCAGCCATACTTCTCTCTTAACTTAAATGTCTTTTTTCTAAAACTAATAAAGATGTATTTGAAACTACATTAAAGCTGAAATAATATAGAAGTTTAAATGGCCTCAAAATAAAAAAAGCAAAGTTAATCGCTAGAACTAACTCCATCTACTACGGTATTTTAATTGAAGTTTTTATAATCAACATGATTAAACCCCTCACTAATCTTCCTAACCATAACTAAGCTTCACCTAGTTCTACTAACTATAACGAAAAAACAATTATTTGAGTTGGACCTCATAGGAGAAATATTCTATCGATAAATCGGACATATGATTGATCGTGTGAAAAAGACATGCGATTCACATCGTGGTTCTAACTTACAGGACTCAAAACGACACATACATCCAAACCCAAATGAAAATGAATGCATTAATAAACAGTAAAATTATGAAAAAGAATTATAGACTAACGGAAAAAAATCATCAACTTCCATTACAAATGAAAGAATAAAAGAATTAACAACAATACGTAACAGTTATTCCTTCTTAGACCTAATCCTTCTCAATTGATGGAGCACTCTGGAGGCAGTCCTTGTGGGAATCGCTTGTGATCGGCGCAATAGTTATAGATCATGTAATTGCTCTGTACCGACGACATTCTCTTCTGGCTCGTCACATCCATCTCATAATCCATCCACGTTCCTGCTCCGCCGCATCTTGATCCGCCGACGACGCAAGCATCCGCGTTGAAGCCACGGTAAGAAGCAGTGAATGGCGCGTTCTTCCAGTCCGTCTTTATGAGTCCTCCCCGGGTGGCCCAGTCGTCGGCGTTCCAGAGGCTGGGGTAGATCCTCATGGCCTGACTCTTTGGGAATCCCACGCCTCTCGTTTCCAGATTCCGGAATACCCTTATGGGGGTTCCGTCCACCATGAATCTGCTCACGTACATATTGCTCAAAGTTAGCTTTTTTTTTATTAATCCTATTCGTTAAGTAATCGTTAAGTAATTGCTAAAAATTTCTTTTTTTTTTTCTTGAAGCAGAGACGACTTACATAATTTGTTGGGGATTCCAGAGAACAGAGTAGGTGTGGAAATCGGTGGTGGGATCGAACCAGAGTTTGAACTGCATCTCCCGGTTGCCCTTTCCCTGCGTGAACACATTGGTGTGCAACGTGTAAGGGTCGCCGCTAAGGTTTCCGAGGAACTCGAAGTCGATCTCATCATGCGTTGGCCCCTGAGACGACAGCTGCAGGAGAAGAAGGACACCATCAGTTCAATGAAGTGTTGAGTTCTCACCAGCATATATATAGTATGTTGATACAATGGAGAGTGAATTGAGTGAGAATGTTACTTACGTAGTAGGCGGTGACTGTGCCGGCGGAATTGCCCGGGACGAGCTTGAGCTGCATGTCAATCTTGCCGAAGAGGTACTCTCTCTTGGACTGGAAGCCGGAGCCAGAAGCCTTCTCGAGTGAAAGAGTCAGAAGCTGGCCATTATTGAGGATCTTAGCTCGGCCGTCGCCCCAAGTGACGTCGAAGTCGTTGTAGAAGTTTCCTGCGGCAGCGGTGGCGGCAAGCAGAGAGCAGGCCAGTATAGTTAGCAGCAGCGCATTGGCCATTTCGGATTTAGCCATCATTAAGCAAGCTTGAAGCAGAGGACGGATTGGAGATGCTATTAGCTTATAGTTTTTATTGAAGGCTGAATAAGTTTTGGGTGAGGAGTTCGGAGTGGTGGCTGAAGGGGTTTTTATAGGTGGATGAGAATGATGAAGAAGAAAACGCGGAGGAAGGAGGTGGGGATTAGATTGGAGATTTCCTCGCTAGAGTTCCTTCACACTTCTCTCGTCACCGGATCTTCTTAGCTGGCTGCTGTCTGGCATTGATGAATTAAGAGGCACGCAGTATACATTGGCAATATGATATTGTTTACAATGAAGACACGCTGTTTGCATTAAAGCGTTTAGAATTTTATATAATATGATAAAGTTTAACTTGAAGGAATTCAAGTTTGTTCAACGAAAAAAAAAATGCATATATTCATGACATATGATTGAGTGATTGAGAAAAATTGAAATATAATAAATAAAAAAATGTAAGAAAAAATTTAGATCTTACAAAATACGTTGGTGTAGATGATGAATTTTGAGTTTTTGAGCGATCATTAATCCATAAATATGAAAAACCTTCAGCCTGACAGCGGTTATTTATTTCCAAGTTGTATGAATTGCTTTTTTTCTTTAGTACTTGCATGTTGTCATTAAACAAAATCATTTGTTTTTTCGGTCTTCTTGCACTGTAGACTAACTTGCTGACCCGTTCCAAAGAAGCTGATCCAAATTGACTCTTATTTTAGTTTGATTCTCCTCTCTCTCTCTGTCTCTACTTTCTTATTTTAATTAAGTGTAAAATTGTATTAATAGAAAATAGATATTCAAAATGTTGAACATGAATTCTAAAAAATAAAACATTTATATTAATATATAAAGTTAACAACTTATTGCTATGCACACTGAAATTGAAACAAATTATTCCGTGCATACATCTGAACGACCATCTCCACCGCACAACTAAACTTCCTACATCTATATCATTACATATGCTACAGATTAAAGTATCCTATGTGGACAGCTTGCTCTTAGCCGTGCAAATATATATATTTGTGAAAATAAGAATTAACTAAATGATGCTGTCTAACGATTACTTGTGATGATTAGATATTAAATCTAGTATGAGAAATTATAAAATTAAATATTATAATAATAAAGAATTCATCAATGTCCTTGAGTGGAGTGCAGTAATAATCATGAATATTAGCCGAAGTTTGCGCTGCCTCTCTGAAATAAAAATACCTAGAAAATAGAAAGATATGACTACAAATATATTTCTGTCTGACAGTCCAAAGTCTGTTAAGCTCCCTAGTGCCTCCAAAGGAACGATGATTTCCATGATTTGAACTTACCTCATAAATCTCATTTAGTTTGGAAATAAAAGCTTTTTTATACATATTTTTTTGTAGCTATCTGTTGGATCCTGAATTATCTTTTATGAACATGCCTCAAGAGTTAAAATTCGAGTGAAGGAGAGAATAACATGAAGTAAGAGTTACTGTGGTAGTTAAAATTCGAGTGAAGGAGAGAATAACATGAAGAAGTAAGAGCTGTGGTGAGAGTTTAAATGACGTGTGTCCCTTTGATCGTCTTATTGTCTCTAATTTATAAGAACTTATTTTGTGTAATTACATAAATGAGGGAACAATTATGGAAACTACTCTTAATATGATTAATATTCTAATAAATTGTATGGATTTCATTTCATATCTGTTTTACAATTTGAATTTTGATATATTGGTAATTGGTTGAATGATTTGCTAGAATGCGGCTGATTGAGGCGATCGACTGGGTGACATCTGTGTCTTGTGTTTGGTCTACTGAGGTGCTCATATGAACAACGATCTTGTCCATCGGAGCAAAAGCAGGCTAACCGTCCAATCGTGCTCAAGGTGTTTCTGTCTGCACTTCAGTCGATCGATTGGTCGACTAACGAGTTGATTGTTTTTGTCAGGAGAGTCGTGGTTTACTTGTAGCTTTGGCTCAAGTCTTACGAGGCCTACAACTTGTCTACCTGGTCGGTTCGTCGCCTCAGCTGGATATCCCTATTTGCAAGGTCTTAGGCGGATCTTGTTGTTACCTGTGTGAAGTATCCGATGAGATTTGTTGTTATCATGAATTATGTCTTGCCCTTGGTGGATCTTGTCGGTATCGAACGAGGGATCATCTCTAGAGCTTTGACTTGTCCCAGATTTAGAGACGGGAATTTACCTACTTGGCATTGAGTTGTTGGTCGATTGCTTACCTCAGAGGGAATATAGTTTGCCCCTCGGTCATTTGTCTTTTTTTTTTGAGTTTCATGTTGATAGTTCTGATGTATACATATTAGTTCCTCAAATTTTCCTGCTTCTTGGCGGCGACAGCTGCATTAAGGAAAGGAAAATTATTATCTTAATTGAGAAACACAAATCAAGAAAATTTAATGATTAGTTCTCCCTTTATTTTTGTGCTCGGCGTGTCCTATAAATAAGGTCAGGAGTTGGGTTGTTCGTCTTTTGCCAGCTTTTACTGTGTGCTGAGTAGGTGTCATGTCGGGTGGCACGAGCAACAAGAAGGTCAACCCAAGCTCACTAGCCTTGGCGGGGTATCCATCTACTCTGACATCTGCCCTAAAAAATAAAAAGGTGGTCAGAAAGAAAAAAATTCGAGAGATGGTCGGTTTTGAGTCGATCGACCAGGTTGCTTCTTCCGAGGGGCCCAAAAGACGGTCTCCAAAGAGGCTCCAAAAACCTGCGAGTTTTGGTCCGAGCGAGGTCAGCGCGGTGGTTGACCCGTCGGCCCCGTCCATTGAAAAGGCTGCCAAAGATCGTCAAAGCTCGAGGGCAAAGGTGGCGATACACCCTTTGTTGTTGTCTCAGGGGAAAAGAGAGTAGGCACCATAGCGAGAGAGGTTGACTGGGTATGAGCTTGAGAGGCTCATGGATATGTAAGAAATTTCTTTTGACTTTGGCTAGCGCAATTACTTAACCTTCAATTTAAACGCAGATATGTCAGTCGAGATGGAGGATGTCGAGGGCGACGAGCCACCGAGATATGTGGTTAAATTAGTTGTTATTGTTGTCGTTGAATCCTTTGATTTGATCACCCTCCCTCCCCTTTCCATCGATCGACGCAGACGAAAGCTCTCAGCAAGATCAGCCTATGTACAACAGACTCCCTCTTGAGTCAGTGACATGTCGGGTGCAGGAGATGGTAGAGGTTCTGCAATAGACAATAAAAAGTCCTGCCAACTCATCTGCACTAAGATGGATGTCTTGTTTCAAACATTTGAAGATCGCCTCTCAACAACATTCGGCTATCATCGCTCGACTGGAGGGAGAGGTCACATCGCTACTAGGCACTATTAATAACATTCGAGCTGAGTTGGGATCCATCTGTGGTTCGGTAGTTCCTAGTGATTCCAAAATGAAGCTGGTCGAATGGAGCAGATTAGGCTTGATGGATAGATGGTCCTCCAGAGGTTGCTTAAAAAAAGGGTATGCCTCGTCTGAAACCACAAAAAACCCATTTATTAAGTATTTTTTCTGAAACCTGTAATGATGATATTCGTAATAAAATACTGTGTTAAGAGATTTGAAATACCAATTTGTGTGAAACATATCTCTATGTGGTTCTTCGGTTTGCGCACCAGCCTTATAAATAGGTTTAGGGTCGGAAATCTTCCACTTTTGTACTTTGTTTTCCAAGTCCTTCAATTTCTCATTATTTTTCTTCTAATCCTTTTGCCTGACTGTAATAGATCACAAGTACTCTCCAGTTTTTTTGACACAATATGGGTGGCTGATCCATCGTTCTCGATGAACAAGAGGGTAAGGGTGAAAGACCTTCAGGACAGGTATATGTCGGATTCTCAGATTATCCTCCGCAGAATGCCGATCAAGAGGCGAACGACAAACAATGGTTGTACTAATATGGTGTTCTACTAGGATTGGTTTAGTTGCGGTCTCCTACTAACCTTATAGCCAGAGCTCAAGAGAGTCTTCACCAAATATAATGTTTCCCGACCCAAGTTCTGTCAAAATTCATTGCACCCATCGTGATTTTCATCATGTTCTGCCTCTGCTTCAGCATCCCTTGAGCAATTGACATTTGCAATCCTTAATTCTTCTTCAAGGTTGACAAAGATGGTTGTCATGTTTTAGCCATTGCAAAAGCTTCACTTGCTTGGTGTTGAAAACAAGATTAAGGGCTGGCGAAATAAGTTCTTAATCAATTCTACATCTAGCGACTAAGAGATTGTTACCACGTTCGCGGGACATGGCGGGTAGTAAGCTGAAGGCATTTCCACCCAATTTGCAACCTGTCCAGAAGGTGCTAGAAGGGTGCTCAATGTCTGTTCCTCAGTATACCACTGAAAAAATGGTGAACCGTGTAATGAAAGAAGCCGAGGAGGGTACTGACGTCCCGTCCCTTCTCTGAAGTTGTGAGGGATGGTTAAGGATGAGAAATGACGAGCAGTTCAACTTGCTTGATGTCTAAAGGGACTTACATCCCCTGTCGGCCACAATTAGTGTATGTTGTCTCTTCTTGGGGAAATGACTTGGTCTTCTACTTTTCAGGCGGATCTCAAGGAACATTCTTATGAGAGACTTCTCGAGCATGTCGCATGATCATACCTGTAGGCGAGTTAGATTTCTCACTCCTTAGGACTTGCTTTTATACAAAAATAAAACTCCTTGAGGGTAGTCAAGGAGAGCTTTGTCAAACTCCTGAGAGGAAGTTGCCCTCTTGACCGATGAGCTCCACAGGGCTTGTGACGATCGGGAGTTTGACAGATTAATGCAACAACACTCCGAATGAAGGGAGTAGCAGCCGATGAAGGAGGTAACTGAGCTCAGAAGGACATTGGAGTCACTTGTCCCCCCTCGGACCCCCACCCTTGGTGGATACTAGTCTTGATTGATTCTTTCTCCTGACACGTTACTTAAGAGGGTGATAACCAATGTTTTTAGGATGAATTTTGTTCCCCTTTTGCAGATCTTGTCAATTGCAGGAAGAGATCCATCCCTAGGTAATGTACTGTCCCAATTTCACATCGGCTCGCGGCTGGAAGGTATCAAAGTTTTCCAATCGATTACGCAGCAGTCGATCAATTTCTCTAGAATTGTTTGATCCCTTGGTTTTTCCAGACCTCCCGGGGACTCACCCCGCTTTTCCCTGCTTGTGCGTGTCTTTATCCCTTTGTCGACCTCTAGGTACAAATCTTGTCATCACCTGTAGGAGGCAATAACTTAGAAATTTTGGGGGATCATGACCTTCTCTTTGCGAACCTTGTTAAGGGGGAGCAGGGAAAACGCCTCAGGTGCCCAGGCTCGTAGGTTTTACAAGTGCATTTAGAATGAGTGATGGCTCGATTTCATTGATCGTCAGGCGAACCCCGACCCCCAACTCTTATAGTTGACAAGGTTGCACATGCAACTATCTTTATGGTAAGAGACTACAATCTAAATACTCGATACAATGATCAAATAGATCGTATCCTTAGACATCGTGATGCAATCATATCACATCTCAATTGGGCATGCATATTTCTAGCGTTTCACAATATTGGCTTGTATATTTATATTGATACTATGAGGGCTTTAGGACGTCCACAAGATATGTTTTCAGATACCGCTATACATTTATAGCCCATCAGAGCGTTGCCTGCCAAGTTTCCAGATTGAAGTCGTTGTTCGGGAAGGAAAATCAATATATTGCATATGTAGCTTATCTTTAGACCTTTTTGAAGAAGGTTTTGTTACTAACATGTTTACTTCAATTGTGGGTTTTATATGCGTTTGGAAGATCTTTAAATTCCCCCTTCTTATTTAAAAACTTTTCAAGGTCGACCTCATCACATCAAAGTTAAAAGAGATAAATTAAACAAATATGTTGTTCTCCATATATATCGAAATTGCTGTGCTGCAAGGCTCTCCTCAAAATTTTTTTTATTTCTTTGGGGCATCATGGCCTTAATATGTTTTCCCTTTTAGGAGAGTTTACGTTAAAACAATGGGGGATGCGAACAAATAAAGAAATAAAGAAATAGGAAGACTTGGGCAGAGCTTAAACCCAACAACATGTTCTCATTTACAAAGACAAGAAAAGCTGACAGTTTCAAAGACGTACCAACAACATGTTCTCATTTACAAAGACAAGAAAAGTTGACAGTTTCAAAGACGTAAAGTGTATTATAAATTATTAATAGTTCTATCGTTCAACAAAATCAACGAAACGTGTACTAGCGAACAAATCATGCATGATATCTCATTACAAATTAAAGAATAAAACAATTAACTATGTTACACTGTAGTTATTCTTCTCCGGCTTTACACTTCTCAATTGATGGTGCACTCAGTCGGCAATCCCTGCGGGAACCGCTTGCGATCGGCGCAATAGTTATAGATCATGTAATTCTTCTGCACCCACGACATCCTCTTCTGGCTCGTCACATCCATCTGGTAATCCATCCACGCTCCAGCCCCACTGCCACCCATCTTCCTCGCAGGGCACCTTGATCTGCCGGCGACCCACACGCAAGCGTCGGCGTTGAAGCCACGGTAAGAAGCGGTAAATGGCGCGTTCTTCCAGTCTGTCTTGATGAGACCTCCGCGTGTGGCCCAGTCGTCGGCGTTCCAGAGGCTGGAGTAGATCCTCATGGCCTGATTCTTTGGGAATGCCACCCCTCTGTTCTCCAGATTCCTGAATACCCTTATGGGCGACCCGTCTACCATGAATCTGCGCACGTACATATTGTCCAAAGTTAGCATTTTTTCTCCTATCTGATACATGATTAAAAAAAGAAATCTTTATTTTTTTTTAATTGGGAAGGGGAAACGACTTACATAATTTGTTGAGGATTCCAGAGAAGAGAGTAGGTGTGGAAATCGTTGGTGGGATCGAACCAGAGCTTGAACTGCATCTCCCGATTTCCCTTTCCCTGCGTGAATACATTGGTGTGCAACGTGTAAGGGTCGCCGCTAAGGTTTCCGAGGAACTCGAAGTCGATCTCATCGTGTGTCCGCCCCTGAGACGACAGCTGCAGGAGAAGAAGAACGAACATAATAAAGACACCATGAGTTTAACGAACTGTTGTGTTCTCACCAACATATATATAGTATGTTGATATTAAGCAGAGTGAATTGAGTGAGACTGCTACTTACGTAGTAAGCGGTGACTGTGCCGGCGGAATTGCCGGGTACGAGCTTGAGCTGCATGTCAATCTTGCCGAAGAGGTACTCGCTCTTGGACTGGAAGCCGGAGCCTGAAGCCTTATCGAGTGAAAGAGTCAGCAGCTGGCCATTATTAAGGATCTTAGCGCGGCCGTCGCCCCAAGTGATGTCGAAGTCATTGTAGAAGTTTCCTCCAGCGACGGAAACCGAAGCGGAAAGCAGACAGCAGGCCAGAATAGGGAGCAGAAGCGCACTGGTCATTGCGGAACAGGTCATCACGAAGCAAGCTTCGAGCAGAGGAGGGAGTGGAGGCCGGAGTCTTTAGTGTGGCTAGTTTCTAGGGGGCCGAGGATGATTTGGGTGAGGAGTTTGGAGCCGAGGCTGATGGAGTTATATAGGAGGCAAAGAATGATTCAGAAGAAAACGCGGAGGGAGGAGGGAGCTTCGTTGCACTTTCTCTTGTCATCGGCTCCTCATAGCTGGATACAGAACAGAGCGCTGATGAATTATGTAGCGCAAGGTACGTTAAAATAAATCAAAGACGCTTCATTATTTGGTCCGTAGTATTCTGCTTTCACGTAAAGCAATGTTTTTATATGGTATATTAAATTCATGATCATCAATTTTTTCCATGCATGCCATCTAATTCTTATCTATTTACACAGCGAACACCTAACTTCATTTTTTTTTTACTTTTATGCCAACCTATGCTTTACATAAAACTGCGATATTTTTATATTTTTAATTTAAAAATCAAATTTATTCTCCCTCGATATAAAGTCAAATCATGCTTATTTCTCTTCATAAGATCTCAGCCGGGAGCAATTTCTACCTGGAATGCCAAATTACGCTAAACCCTGAACTTCATAATCTCTCATTTAGGAGCATTCACTCCATAGAAGGTCAAATAATGCCTGTTCCTCTTTTTGTTAGAAGTAGAAGATGTTTTATTTAATTATAGAAATAATTTTTTTGGTGAATAAGGACAATATAGTTGTCAGCAGGTGAGCCCATTTATAAGCCCAATTTGATGGAAAGAAAGAAGACTCGAAACACAAAATCTCATTACATTTCTTGAGCAGTTAATTACAATCCAATGACTAAAATTATATATGGATAGATACAGACTAATACAAAATTAATTTGGTTATTACCCCCTTCGAGATGATGTCAGTCGATCCTGAGTATTGATATAGTGAATTGGAGATGGTTAGCTTTGATTTGATCCCTAATAAGTATCATCTACAATTTCTTCTGGCAAGTTTTGATGCCAATATTTATGCAAATTTACAGAAATCATTATTAACGATTAGTTTTGTGTCAAGATTAGCCGTGATATTATTAAATGCTATCTTTATCATTTAATAGCGACGATGTTAAGTTCGACAAAAAACTATTTGATGTAATCAATACATGATACAAATTTAATGCCAAAATGTTAAAATCAAAACCCATGTCTCCCAAGGTCATTCACGCTCTCCACTGCTCAATTTTCTTCCCCAAAGAAACCCTAGCACCTCGTGTCATCGGGCAACCCCACGATCACACTTCTCGAGCGACTGTCTGATGACCTCGTGAATCTGACACATCCTCTTATCTGAGCATTTAGGTATTAGGGTTTTGCTATGGCTTATTGGGTGTTCAGCTACCAGTGAGATTTAGGGTTAGTGGGATTTTGTAAATACGAAAATAAGAAATTGTTTCGTTAAATCCACTTTCCCCGTGGATTTAGAAAATTAATTTAAGTCAAACAAAAGGCAATATTTCAACCCCATTATATATGTGTATAAGTGTAGAATTTAGGTAAATCCACAAAACTTATACATTTTTGCATTTGTTTAATTCTTAGTTATTTATTTTCCTTATATCTTTCTGTATGTGTATTTATGTGTGTCTTTGTGTGTTAGGGTTTGTGTATTTATATAGATGGATGGATGGATGGATGGATAAATTTTGTGCAAGAATGTATATATTTATGTGAGTGTTTTTGTATAGGTGTTTATGTGTGTGTTTGTGTATCTAAATGCATGTCTATGTGTTTGTGTGTCTGCACATGTGCATGTAGTGTTTGTATAAGGTCTTCGGTTGTTGAAGGCCCAATGCATAGCAAAAGGTACATGTTTTAGCCCTTGGGCTAGAGCGACGTGTGATATTGTGGGTTCCAGATCCAGCTTCTCCAAAATCTCCTTCTAGAATGAGGTGATTAATGAGCGGAGGCTTTCATTCTGTCATTGCCTTATATGCAAAAGGGCCATTGAATTCTTTTAGGATTTTTTAGGGCTTGCAAGTTGTGCCACCAACATCATCTTGAAATCTTTGAATGAAGTAATTATCCTAAGCAGTAATCCATTGAACCATTTGAGAGCCAATTTCCTCAGCATGGTGAAGAATAAATGTCACTTCAATGCATCTGTGATCTTCAATAAATAGACGATTGACTCAAAAGAAGCAATATGGTTGATCATATTAGTCCAACGCTTGTCGGATTCTAGAGCGGGAACTCTGAATCGCTTCTAAGGCTTTGCTTAATAAATCTGCTAAGTGAATGTTTTCTTTGGCTAACGGGATGCCTTGGTTCACTCTAAGCTTTGTCTGTCCATTGGTGTCGACCCAACTCTATCGAGACACTGAGAATATTCAATCCTTTTTTCATGTGGAGGTATCCTTCAACCATTGGGCACCGGTGCTTCATGTCAGGGGTTTTGTTCCCCTCTCTAAGACAATACTTCTTTGATGATGTTCATCATCTTGTCCTTTAAATCTTGGATTTGCTGTTGTACAAACTCCCTATAGCACTCCATGTTGGTTGTATCTTTTTTGTGGATTTCCTCTCCTTGTGCTACTTTTTTTCTTGTTACTAGCAAATCCACGCTTAACACACCTTTAGATTATTGAATCCTGATTTTTTCATGAATCACAACCAAGGAATAAAGTTTATCGTGGGAGAGAGACGGAGACAGTGAGAGAGAAATGCTCAATAATGAACTGTAACTTGAATTTTTTATCATTTTCTAACAAAATGATCCCCTATTTATATAAAAGAGGGTAAAATTCATGAAATTAGATGTTTTCCTCTACTTTAACGAGCTTATTACAATACATTTTTAAGAATTTTACATATATTTTGGCATTTGGTTCATCTATTCTATGACAAGGTCAATTGAGATCAGTCAGTTCTGGTTCAATGAGACCTGCTTGTATGACTACTAAATTAGGGTTGTTATTCAACCCTTTGTGGTCTTTTGGCCACCAAGACTTTACACAATCTACTTAGCTTTGTAGGTCAACCACGCAAGTCTATTTACTCATTATTGATCCCTAAGTAAGGAACTCATGTCGACAAAGCATGGCTAGATTATCTGGTAGAGTGTGAATTATCATAATCTTACAGGTAGCCTAGTAGTCCACGAGGCAATCCTTCGGGAATGCTCTGTATAGTTGTATAATGGCTAGTTCTCGGCCCCAAATACGGAATCTCAGGGGTGTCTGCGGGTAGCTAACAATGCTGGCTTCTTCCCTTGAGTCATGTATGAGAAGAGGCAAATCGATGCACTCGCTCGGCTTAATAGTCATTTATCTTTGGTGAGATGATCTTTATTCGGTCGACCTTCAACCCTATTTTAAAGGGGTCACAAGTAGCCACACAGGTGTTTCAGTATTCTGCTAGCGAATGCTTAACATCTTGGTCCTAGACCCTAGTCTTTTGTCGATGAACCTTTGATCATCTATTGTGGGTCGTTAGTTTTCCATCTATATGCCCTTGATCTTCCATACGTAGGTCATTGGTCTTCCGTTTGGGAGCCCATTTTAGTCTTACACATTATATGTATATATATACACACACACACACACACACACACACAAACACACACGCACGTACATATATATGTACATGTATGTACATATCTATGTACATGTTTGTACTTATGTATGTACCTGTATGTACATATCTATGCACAAATCTATGTGTCTGGTGTACATATGTATGTAGATGCATGTATATATGTATGTACATATGTATGTACATGTGTGTGTGTGTGTGTGTGTGTGTGTGTGTGTGTGTGAACATATATATGTATCCCCCTCAGCCTCTTAGAAGGTTGTTGGATGCTGATAAGCTTTCTATACCCTATATCAGATGCTAACCTGGTCTCTATTGCTTCTTCTAATATTGCTTCTGTGTTTTACATGGCTCTTTATTTTACTAGGGCTTCATGTCTATGGCTTGCCCTCTAATGGTTGTTAACAGCCTCAACTCTGATTGACTGCTGGTTTCCTTACTTTTGTTGTTGTTGTTTTATTTATTGCCTCAATCAACAAGTTTGAAGTTTCTTTCAAGTTTGAAGTTTCTTTCTTTTTTGGCTATTGCTACAATTTCTTTACAAATTTACAGAGATACATAGTTTTCTTCAAGTTACATAGGTTTTTTTTGCAGACTTTATTTTCAAACATTGGTGCGGTCTCAATTTTTTGGAGTAGCTTGTGTAGATCGGAAAAGCTCTCGGTTTTTTATTATTTTGGGCTCGGCGTTGTAGTTTTCTTTTTCCTGGGCCTTTATGTTTTGGGTATACGACCTTCTTTGGTCTTTATATTGTTTTGGTTTTATCTTTTTTGTGTTATTGAGAGGTTTGGTAATGTGGCAGATGAACCCTCTTATAAGTGCATACTGTATTATTTCCTTTTAGATTCGGGGGATCCGCTCCCAACCCTATGTACTCAACTTTTGTAATTAACACGTAGGGGAGAGAGTACACCTAAAAATCTTCTGCACAGATCTTGAGGCAATCCAATGGTTTAGATAAGTGATGAGATTAACTTGTTCTATCTTTCTTAAAGCAAGAGTAAAGATGTAATATTGTATTTCCTCCTTTTTATCTTCTATAAATAGAGGAACCATGACGTGTATTTAGAACTCTTGGGCTCTCCTCTCTTAACCTCTCATGTAGGAAGAACATCTATCCTTCTCTCTTGTAAGCAACATATTTAGTGGAATAAAAGGCGCCAAAGAGCTCGGGAACACTTCTTTTTGCCCATATGGGGCAAATCTCTCTCTCTCTCTCTCTCCCTCTCTCTCTTCCTTTTTCTCTCCCTCAGTCGCTAGGCTCTATTCCTTGCAATAGAATACGCTAGGCTAGCTTCTCCTAGCTAGACCTCTCTTGTAGCATGGATGTTTTTTCCCACACTCTTTTCACTTCAATCAAGCGGAAAGCTTAACGTCCGACCAACCCGCCGTCCGACCGGTCTTTGATCCGGCGTCCGCCCCTCGATCGACCACTCACCTCCCACTTACTCGCCGTCGTGCGGAACTATTAGCCCATACGCCCGACACCGACCACCTCTCATTGACGACTATTTGGGTCTAAAAATGTGACCATGGTCGACCACTCTGACCGGCCAGTCATCTGCTTCTGGCCAGCCACCTACTTCCGGCCGGCCACTTGTTTCCGGCGGCCCAACTGCTTCCAGCCGGCTATCTGTTTCCCGCTGACCACCTACTTCCGGCTTGCCACTTAGCTTCTACCTTAAACCATAGATGAAGATATTTTCACACATCTTCCTTTTTGCTTGAATCGCCCTTATCGAATTTACAAATCCGCGACTTTATTTTGTCCAAATTGTGTGTCTGGCAAGGGCTAGGTTAAATCTAGATTGAAATCCTACTCTAAACCCATTTATCAAACATCCCTTTAATATCTAACTAAAAAATTTTGAATACTTTATGAAGAGATATTCATGTACATACTTTTCAATCCTTTGTCTTTACATATCTAAATCCTAAACATTGCTATTTTACCCATGGTCGCCGACCACTCCTACTGACCACCTACTTCCCTATGTAAACACAATTTATATCCCTTGGACAAATTTCAATTCAACATCTATATACCAAAAAAAAAAATCAAAATTTATATATCTCTGTAGCTCTAAGCTTCGAATATAAAGCAATTAAACATCCCTTCACTGTAGAAGTTCCCGAAGAACAAACAGTAAACAATATCCTTACTAGACTACACATCATATTTCATATGAACCGAAAACAAACCTATATTCAATCCAGCAATCCAACAAATCTGCTTTATCACAAATACCTACGCATGACTTCGACATCACAACACGAGTAAACCAAATCAATTAACCGAACATTCACGAGGAAGCCCCTGCGGAAACCTCTGGACATCACTACAGTAATTATAAATCATATAATTCTCCTGCACCCATCTCAGCCTGCTCATCCCCCCGCTACCCATTTCCTGGTTCATCCAACCCTTGGAGTTACACGCCCCGTCGTTCCCCGCGCACCCGTCGGCATTAAAGCTCCCGAAAGAGGCCGTGAAAGGCGCCTGGCTCCAATCCGTCTTCACCCGCCCTCCTCTCGTAGCCCAATCCTCGGCGTCCCAAAGACTCGCATACAGTCTCATGGGCTGCTTCTTCGGGTAAGCCACACCATTCGTAGCCTCAAGGTTCTTGAATTCTCTGATTGGAATGCCGTCCACGGACAATCTGAAACCTTTGTATGAGTGAAGTTGTATGAATAAAAATGATACTTTGGGGCGGAGTGATGTGAAGGAGAGAGCTTACACGATGTGGTTGGGATTCCATAAGATTGAATAGGTGTGGAAGTCCTTGGTGGGATCGAACCAGAGATAGAACTGAACTTCTCTGTTTCCTTTGCCTTGGCTGAACACATTGGTGTGCAGGACGTACGGGTCGCCGCTCAGGTTGCCCAGGAACTCGAAATCCACCTCGTCATGCGCTGGGCCTTGGGATGACAACTGCCAGCAACAAAGAAAAATAAATTATTGTCGGCGCATATGCTTATATAGCTGAGTAAATTCTAAGTAATTATTAGTTGCAGACAAAATGATTGTATTGGTTGTATTTATTGTGGATTTCAGTACAACATATTTGTACTCATGAATGCAATCAATACAATCATGTTACATTGAAGTCCTCATGCATGCGAATTTCACACCTAATAATTTTTTCTGGTTCATAAACAAGTATTAAGGGATGTTTATGCCAAGTTAAGAAAGCTGCTTAATCTAAACAGTATATTTTGTGATGTAATTTATCTAATTTATGAAGTGATATGTTACTTGCGGGTTAATAAATTAGTTTGCTTGATAAGGATGATGATGAACAATATTAAAATTTAAAATTTAATTGAGTTTAGCACCTTATTAGCTACTCCGATTAGTTTTTTTAATGTTTATTTAACTTACTCTATTAGACATTGTTGTATAAATAGTTAATGTTTTATTAGTTTATATTGGCCTTAGATTGTGATTAATGTTTTTTAATCCATAATAGACTTTTTTACTTATTTATTACCTAGTTTTAATTAGAACAATTCATTATTAGTAATACTTAATTGTAATCTCCAATATAATCAATAAATAATTGTTTTAATTAATTTATTATTAATCTATCCATTTTAACTAATTAATACAATAAATTCTTTTTCAACCTTATACGTATGCCAATTATTGCTTTACCAATAAGAAAAACTTAAATTTTCCTAGCTTTCCATCGACTATTTTATCCAAGTAGGCCACCAAACAGTGAAGTTTTCTATCACATACGATTCAACAATTGATTCATTTTGACTCAGAGTTTGTCCTAATTTAATTTATTCTAATAGAATTAGATTTCCTATCTATTCATATCAATTCGAGCAAGAATAAGTACATGTTCACAGCATGAATTTTTATCTTAATTTAAATAAATTAATCGAAATATATATTATTCTCTTTCTCTTTATAGAAAGAAACATAGCATGATAAAAACAGCTTATTATTAGTTGAATCCAGTTTAAGAAAACAATGCTGCATAAAGATAACTTATATTACGTGCAGAATCTGCAATTACAAATTGGTCGCATCATAATGATATTATGATGGTATTGTGATCAATCATAATATCATCAAATTCACGTCCATCAACATTTCATAAAGAATCTATATCTATATGCATTAAAGATCAATTCATAGAAATATGAATGGCGATAAATGAAGTTAACCATGATTAAAGAGGCGTACATAGTAAGCGGTGACGGTGCCCGCAGAGTTCCCCGGGACGAGCTTTATCTGCGTATCAATTTTGCCAAAGAGGAACTCTTTTTTAGACTGGAAGCCAGAGCCAGAGTTTTTGTCAAGGGAAAGAGTAAGAAGTTGGCCATTGTTAAGAATTTTTCCGCGGCCATCACCCCAACTTATGTCCACGTCCTGATTGAAGTTTCCTGCGTCAACTAAAGCTGCAAACCAGGCAACAAAGGTAAAAAGGAGCACTAAATATGATGGAGAATAAAGAGAAGCAGAGGAAGCCATGATCGAGCTTGTTGGAAAAACAGTGTTCTGCTTTTGGTTAAACTGAAGAGGCTCGGAGCTTATGGTTTGTGTGGTCATGTGGTGGATGCTTGGGGTTTTATAGAGGGGGGAGATGGGGGAAGGAAGAAGGTCATGATTTTAATATTTGGAGGATGAAAATGGGTAGGAAGAACAGTTGGATTTCAGGAACTATGGTCTTAAGTGGTTGCTGGATTTTCTTGGTTTTCTCTTGATTTGATGGGGATAGAATGTATTTTCTAAGCACTTACCCGTAGGCCATGAATTTGAATAGTGCATATATGTTCCTCATTAAGCTCAATTTTTCTTAGACACGATTTTATTCTTCTTTATTTTTTATGCTTGAAAAATAGAGTTCATAATGTTTTGAAGAGTTTTATTATTGAGTTTTAAAATCAAAATGTGCAAATATATATTATTTACAATGTAAACATCTTCTTGTATCATTTTTTTAGTTTCTCTCAAAGTTGATGTCAGATTACACTTACTGATTGATGAATTCAACTTACCTAATAATATTTTAAATATGATTTTAATGTTAAAGGGTTTTTATTTGTCGCAACTCTTTTGAGGATGATTGATGTAAGAAAGAGAAATATTTATTTTAGGATGGTTGATGTAAAAAAGAGAAATATGATGTAATAGATGCATTTGGGTGATCTCGAGATGTTATTATAGTGTGCTTGACCAAGGATTCTTGTCATTATTTAAAATAAACAAATGAAATACGTTTTGCATTTCTTACGTCATTTAATACCATTACAAAGGGTAAGAACTCTAATGTTATTGATTTTATTGTGGAAAATTCATAAAAATTAATGATTATTGATGACTACCATATACCATCCAAGTTCTCAAATAATAATGAGAGCAATTTCGAAGCCTTCATATCATCATTGAAATTAATGTTTGCAAAGTTTGATTGCATTGTGGTTGAGTTGAAATCAATGTTGTCATAGATAAATGAAGCTCCTTTTTGATATATTTCGATTAAAAAACTTACACGTGAAATATTACAATGCCCCTTCCTGATGAATATTGTTGTCATTTTATTGATGATGTTGAAGGAAAATTTTATACTAATTAGGATAGATGAATGACTGTTGAAGCTTGTTTTTCCATTAATTCTTTCTCTTCTTAGTCGATTAAATATTGATTTACTCTCTTTAATGGTTGAATGAAATTTTCTTTGGTCAAAATAGGCTTCTATCTATATTTGTCAAGGTTTTGGCCATGGAACTTGCTATATATATTTTTTTTTCATATTTCTTGCTTTGATTTGAAAGCTTCATAAACCAAAGCTTGGATACCATCTCTTAGGATCACGAAAAAATTTTAAGAAATTATTTAAAAGCTAAAGGAAAAATAAACACTGAATATCTTATATACAGGTCATACAAATTAAGAAGGTTTGATGATTCACCCACATCTCTAATCACATTGATCTCAAATATCTTTCTAAGCTTCAAAAAAAGTATTCATATGAATAATACATACATTTTATATGTTTATATAAAAATATATTATTTTTCCTTTATTAATGATTGTTTAGAAGACTTAACCATCTATTTTGAACATAAGTGCTAAATGAGAAAAATAAGGCACTAATGATGCATCTCTTCCTTTTTTTTTTTCTCGATCACAAATGTTTCTCTTTTTTTTCTCTCTTCCTATAACTTGTCACTCCTTTTCATTCTATTATGCTTGTGGGATGCTTTACAAGTGAAACTTACATAGACTTACATTGTGAATAGTTTACTTTTCAATTTTAATGATATTGGTGACTTGTATTGCCTCCATTATGAACTTTGGTGATATCTTCTACTAAGAACTTTAAGGTAGCCTTAATTTATTACTTTAATATAGCAATGATTAAATTCGTTGAATCATGAACTAATGGATTTGATTTAGTAGAAAAACCACCCTTCAAAAGACAATTACAAAAAAGAAAGCCTTCAACAAACAAATAGGACAATTACAAAAAAGAAAGCCTTCAACAAACAAATGAGAAACAAACAAATAGATTAATCACATAACTCTCTTCCTTCTTAATTTTATTTTTAAAATAACTATTCCCTAATGGAATGGTTTTAATGATTATGCCTGCAAAAGAGAAAAGATTAGCAATATAGTTTATCATAAATTGAATTATTTGTTTTTATTTCCTTATATAGAATGTATTTAAATGTATAATTATGTAATTTATTTAATATTAATCGATGCTTTCAATTTTATAAAGTGTTTTTGTCATATATTTGTATTATGATTGTATTTTTCCACCTAATTAATTAGAATATTAATGTAATAATTCATGATTAACAGTATTTTATGCATGTCATTGTTCTTTTCTGTATGATTTGATACTAAAGCCAATAAATTGTTGTTACAATAGAATTAACTTTGTTTTGGCAACTCCATCTAAACTGAAAAAGTAGTTATAAAATATTCATTTGGGAAAAATAATATTCTTGATTGACAATAATCTCTCTTAATTACTTACTCTCCTTCTTCTAGGGCTCTCAAAAAAGCTCGTTGTTCGCGAACAGTTCATGTTCAGTTCGTCAATGAGTTCGTATTTGATTCATTCGATAAGTAAACGAGACGAACGTGAACAAATTTTTTTCGTTCGGTTAGTTAAACGAACCAAACACGAACAGTGATGCGTTCGTTCGTGTTTGAATCATTATTGCTTGAAATATAAAATAATTTAAAATAATCATATATTTTTTTTTGATATTTTAAAAAATTAAATTTTATAAATTATAATATATAAGAAATTACTAATAATAATATATTAATATGCTATATTAGTAATTTACTAATATAAATATTATATATTTATATAATATAAGTTATATAATTAATATAATATATTATTTATTTATATTAAAATTAGGGATGACAAACTGGCTCGTCGTTCATGTTCGGCTCGTTTGTTAAGAAAGAAACATAAACAGTGACTTCACGAACAATTTTGAATACGAGTTTATTTCAAACAAACTAAATTTCAAACGAACCGAACACGAACACAAGTTCTGTTCGTTTGTGTTCGGTTCGTTTACAACCCTATCTTCTTCATTGTCGATATACTCTATCGGAGCTTTTCATGCATTTTAATGCAAAATCTTTATTTTCAAGTTTCATACTTCACAAAAAATTAAAAAAAATAGGAATTTAATCATATGAAACCACATTTTGTCGGTGGTTTTTTTGAACTATTCGATTATGTTAAGTAAAGAAAATCTTGTAGGGGGGATAAGGTGTCCTTCGGAATGCATAATTGGTTATATATCTTTAATTAATTATGCAATATTCAAATGGCAAAAATAAGGCTGGCTATCTCATTCAACATTATAGCAAGATATTAAATTTCATAAATATTTTAGATGACTTGGCCATACATTAAGCATGTAAATCTAACTCTAATTGGCAATCTAAACTATGTGATAAAGTATTTATTAATTTTATGATGCACATAAAATACTCAAATAAAAGGGAAGTATTCAAACATATATATTTTGATATTTTGAAGTAATTTCATTGGATTTAAGTATACTTGCATAAAAATGATATATTTTCATAGAGATTGTAGCAACTCTTCTAGAAGAGCTCCAAAAATATTTTATTTTAAGTTTAATAATTGTGCAATCATCATCATGTGACTTTAATATTTTTGTCTTTTGAAGCTTACATTATAGTGCTCCTAGTTGGAAATGACATTAAATGAATTTTATTAATGTTTTAGGAGGAATTAAATGCTATGGACAACTAATTCTTTAAAGAAGAGTCTGGCATTGATAGGTCCAGATGAATGAGGCCATTCATATCTTTTGTGGTGAAACTAAATTAAGTCTAGGGGGGGCAATTGCCCATCCTGAAATTTGACATTTTTTTAGAAATGATAGAAAATTTAGCATCTTTATATAATTAAGGCAATTTAGTCATTTTCCCCACTCTAACTATATTGTTTTACAAATACCTAAAATTTTTTTAACATTTTATAATTTTTTCCACCCTTAACATTAGTTGGCTTGGTCCATATATCTCCATTCTCAAGCCACGGGTTGCAAATATCTCCCAAAAAACAAAAAAATAGAATGATCAACCTACTCCACCTCCACATTTCAAGTAATCACTATCACAAATTAAGGCTCCCCCACCTCCATTCCTTTGAAACCACCAACCTCCTCCTTCCCATCATCCCAAAAATTCAAATTATAAAGGCTAGGCCTCTACAATTACCTTGCCCAAAATCCAACTCTATCTTCCTTTTTTTTTTATATAAACATTCTCTTTCTCATCACTTTCCAGTCCAACTTTCTTGAAAAAATTAGAAATTCAACTTATTCTTACATAATAGGTCAAAATAGGACACATACATTGTCTTAGCAATCACTGACTCTTCATGATGTTGACAAACTAGCTATGGTCCACTGTACAGTATGTAGAAGACAGCAGCCAGCTATATATCCACACGTTCCTTAATTCATTCTATATACGTACCTACTGATAAGTTTCGTGAAAATAGCATATGAATACTAGAAATTTTGGCATACGAAGACAAACTTTGAAGCCAGCTTGTTGCTTCAAAAGCTAACTTCTAAGACATTAAATGCTCCTTTTTTAATCTTGTTATGAAATCCTTCAAAAATGACTATTTCATTTGTTAGACCTTGAAAAATGAGTTAAGTTGAATGTAACATAGAATGCATGTAATGATTTTTTATTTGAATGCGAGTGCAAAGTAAGTATACAGTGGTGAGGGGAAGGCAGAGCGACATGAGGGAAAGATCCTAAATAATGATAGGGGAAGAAGAAGATTATGGTGAGTGTAGATAGAAAGCGAAAAGATGAAGCTCAAACAATTAGGCAGTCAATAATGAAGTTTTGTAAGCTCGTTCGGGCGATGGAAGGAGCTTCATGGTCATTGTTGATGATGGAAGGGGGGTTTAGGAAATTGTTGGCTGATAAGATGGAGAAAGGTGACATTGTACATGCATAATTGGCTTACATATACATATCAATTAATTTGCCAAATTTGAATTGCAAATTCAAGACAAAATTGTTGTATTTCTATCACGTCCAACCAAACATTGCTATGGAATTCAAGGTTTAGTGTAGATTGGGAGTTAATACTGTTAAATTTTTATTTGAAAGTCCAATAATTAAATCAATAAGCAAATACTAAAACCTGCATAAAGCTTTAGAGGTAGATAAGAAATATAAAAAATGATATGGTAGATGTGATAAATGAGAGATGTGGGCTGCAAATTATAGTGAAAATACTTGGTAGGAAAAAAATTGAATGATTGAGATTAATTGGATTGCTCTACAAAATGTTATGTAATTGAGAAAAATATTATTATTTTGAGCTTAATCACTTCAAAAGAAAAGAAGAGAAGATGAGTGGGTTTAGATTCTTGTTCATATATCATTAGATCCAAAGTTTGAGATTATAAAAAAACCAGCTATCAAACCATAAGATGTTGAAGTATGATTGAATTA